GTAATATATTTCATAAACGCAACAATACATAAAGGACGTAATGTTTGTATACTTTCCCATTATGCCTCCAGGCGTCGCACGACCCCATGCGAAAGAGGCGGCGTGAAGATTTTCATACGTTCGTGGATATTTTTTTTTAATTAATATTTGTCAGTTTTTGCAAGAATTTTGGAATTTTGTAAATTTACAGTGCGGATGGAAATAAGAATCAGTCTTTCGAAGTAACACAGAATCCAGTTAGGTTTGGTTACATTACGTTAGATTAGGTTAGGTTTAAATTTGGCGAGGGAATTCTACAACTATGTGAACACCAACTATATTGATAAAAAAGTAGTGCAGTGAACATCAGGTAGAGGGGGAAGGTGAAGAGGAAAATGTTGACCCCATGTGTGGAGGTAGACACAAAGCTGCACTTGTCTGTGGGAGTTGAGTGGGAGAAAATGGTGGAGGGGAGGGGAGGAGAGGTGTATTTATAGAGAGACGGACGGACGGACAGAAACAGACATGGAGGTAATATAGATAGAGAAATGGACAGACAAAGATAGAAAGAAAGTCAGACAAAACGAGACATGAAGATAACAGAGAGAGAGAAAGATGAACATACAAACAGATAGACACTATAGAAAGGTAGATAGACAGACAAATAGACAGAGAGAGAGAGAGACAGAGAGAAAAACATACAAAATGAGACAGAGAAAGACAGACGAAAAGAGAGAGACATAGAGATAAGTAGAGATGAATTTTAACATAATCGTGGTCCCAAGGCAGCAGTTTTGCCAGATGAGAAAGTATGTTAATACTTTTCATAACTAAGTGGTCTTTCGTGTGGCTGGAAATGTTGCAAGTGGAGCCCTACCAGACGACTCCCTCGACACATCTTGACTACTGCTATACTACTTCTCGCTCTCTCAAATATATATTCGTGTGTGTGCGTTCGTGCGTGCGTGCGTGTGCCCTCTTTAAGTAAACTGTGATAAAATCCACATAATAATTTCACTTTTTTATTAATATCTCAGTTTCTTCCTTCATGAAACAAGAAATCCATATATATTTTTTTATTGATCATTGACTATAATTACTCCTTACGCAACCAACTTCACTGAGTACATAGATTAATTTAGCCTAATTGCTGTATTTTACTTTCACTGCTTCGTAGGTAATTGGTTTCAGAAAGGATAATCAGTTTTAATCTATATACAACAGGCTTTAGAATTATTGTTCACTACAACCTGCTCTTGTAAACACACCTCTCCTCTCACCACTTAGGGAGGGCGCTATTCAGTTGCAAATGATGCTCCCAGACCCACCACCATCCAGCTCGTCTTTATGTCTGTGTTAGTTTAGCCCTTCCCGCCTCTCCCTTCACCTAACTGTTGAATTTCATTAAGGACAGATGGCATTCTTTGAGGTGTCTTAAGTGAACCCTTAACGAAAGTGTTGATAACCTAACCTAACCTAACCTTAAAAGTAAATGTCTTTGCTGTAGAAAATTCTGAATTCCACCCCAAAATCTCTCCTTTCAATAAACTTTCTCGTGTCAGTGTAGCATCTTGCGTTACCTTCCGTACTGAAGTAATACGCTAATGGAATATACGTCAGAAGATGTTGTCTCAGCCCTTTGATACTATTCTATAACATAATCAATTGTCTTTGTTGCAATAAGATGGGGATTATTTTATAGACTCGTATAAATATATTTGTTTACATCTTCATCACTGCTTCAAGAGATTAAAGTCCTCCTATTCGACTTCTTACACAAGTTTTACAATCTCTTAGTCCGTGTTAGAGAGAAGGTCCAGACAGACACTTGCAACAGGACTGACTCTCCATTCCTTTCCTTCTATCCTCTCATTTATCCTGACCGAGGACCATCCAGATCAAGGGAAGGTCTCATGTATTTTTCAGACTTTTCTCGATCTTGACTGAGAGGAGAGACGAGCTGGAGTCGTATTAATCAACAAGAATTCTGATTTTTTTTAACGACCGGAAGTTTTGCAATTTTTTTTAAGACTTCGCATAACACGACTATCTGATATAATTAAAATATATCTTGAACATTAATGAAGTCTCTCATGTCTTTAAAACCTGTTATCATTAATTCATAAACTTCTAAGCCTCAAGAGCTCCGTGAGTGTCTGGATGAAGCAAATTCTTTAATTTATTCTGTGGAGATTAATATTATAAATGAATACAACAATTTAAGAATACCTGGAGTGCAGATATTTAAAAACACAGAACTAGAAAATAAATAAACTGAATCCTCTGGAACACTCCGAGACCTGGTAAGGATCTTAAATTTATCGCAAGTGGGAGGTTCAAGAGGATGGTGAGTGTGTGTGGGTCAGCGCATACCAACAGAGAATAACAGCGCCATGTTGAGTGTGTGTGTGGGTCAGTGCATACCAACAGAGGGTAAACAGCGCTATGTTAAGTGTGTGTGGGTCAGTGCATCCCAACAGAGAATAACAGCGCCATGTTGAGCGTGTGTGTGGGTCAGTGCATACCAACAGAGAATAAACAGCGCCATGTTGAGTGCGTCTCACAGTCTTAAGTGTATCATGAATATGCTGATTGGTTTACGAGTCAACCTTTGTGTAAAGTGTGTGGGCCATCTACATTCATATGTGGAAATCTGTTAATGTTCATGTGCGCAGCCTTTGTTAACTGTTCCTCTGTGTGTACATTCCCTGAACGTTTATGTATGCATATGAACGTGAGAGTCTATTTACGTTCATGGTTCATATATCAAAAACACATTTGATTTCCTTTACTTGAATTCTAATGATTATCTAAATAGTTTAAATTGTTATCTTATGTAATTCAAATTGTTTCATCTAGCTGGGAATAGTTTACATTCTTTGCATTTCTTGTAATTACACCATCGGTAAATGTGAAATGAATATGATAAAGAATGAATAACAGTTGAAGTGTTCTGAGAAAGTTAATCTTAACTGGTTAATTTATCTTAGAATTAGATATTAAGTTAAAGAAATGCCAATGTATATCATTACTAAATACACATGACACCTCTTACGTTATAATTAAAGCTCTCAGGGTGTCTGTCTCCAGGTAGATAATTGCCACCAGGTAGCGAGTTATTTGTTTTCCCTCGAATCAGTACAAGAGGTCGTCCTTATAATTGTCCTCCATCATAAGTTCGTCTATCACCAGCAAGTCTACGGACCTGGCGCACCCACATTCAACCACAACAAATTATGTCACTTTTTCCTTTTTAGCCAAAAAGGGATTAGGCAGTCAATTATAAGACAAGCAAATATGCAGTGAAACCTCTATTTAACGGACTATATGGAGAATAAAATCCGTTATGTCGAGGTATCTGTTAGATGTAAAGACCCATTTAACGGAGTATATGGAGAGAGGAGTCCGTTATATAGAGGTTTCACTGTAAATACTTACTTATCTCTACTAATTGAAATAAAAATAGAAGCAAAATACATGAACTGGTAACCACAAGACAAATTTAGTCATAGTTAATTGTTAAGTAAATAAAATTCACTACATTATTAACTCTGGTCAACTTTTTTTTGTTCTTACAATTAATTTCCCATAATGAGAGTTGCAACTCTCAAACATTTTTCTTGTTGGGATTAAGTCGCCACACGCTCAGCCTAGTTACTTCACTGTGGTAATTCTCGCTTAAGGTTTTGCTAAAGTGGTCATTACCGTATAGTGTATCCTCTATTTAACGGACTATACTGGTAAATTAAGCTTAAAACATCACATCACGGGTTTTTTTTCTACAAATTTGAGTAGTTTGGTCATTAATTTTGTCGATTATTATTAATTGTGCCAGCTGCCTGTAAATGGAACGAGCAAGATTTTTTTTTCATCTCTTTTGATCTCCAACAAGTCGATATTTTCCACTGGGTATAACATTTTTCCAGCATTGGCTTCACCTTTGATCTGGATATCACAAGACACTGCCACCTGGTGTATTTGTTATTATTATTACCCAAGAGAATGTGAGCAGGACTAGCACACTTCTTCCTCTGTATCTATGAACAAAGATTCAGAAACACCACATGTACTGCATCTTATCGTTCATTACCTACTTTAGCCATAGGAAGATAGGATGATAGTAAACATATTTAGGGTAAAATTGACGGTAGGAGGGCCAGGGTAAAGCAAAGATTAGAGAGATTAATTGGATTAAATACTCGGTCTACAGGGCTTAGTCTAGAAGGGTTGATGAACACAGCTCGTAAATGTTTGTTGAATTCTTGGCCCACAGTTGCCAGTCCTTAGAGATGGATGTGGGACCTTTGACTAACTGATTGAAAGTATCACATTGACCATTTTCTTTCTTTCAGTTTCTACTTTGGTTTGTCACAACTATATATATATTTTAGTTTCATGGGTTTTTAATTTTATTTTCTTTACTCTCAAACGTTTACCTATAAATTGGTTTTAAAAAAATATTTTATATATCCTATGCTTCATTGTTTTTCATGGTATACTTCTTGTTCTTTATCTCAAACAATAATAAAGTTGTTCTCAATAATATTGTCTCCTCAAATTCCAAAACAGACGAACATAATTTCAACCTTTAATATCAATCATGAAAAGAAAGTCAAGAATTTGGGTCTTCACACTGTACTATTTTAAGTGTTGACAAGATATTTTCTCTTATAGATCCTTTTAATGTGATGTACATTCGGCTGCACTTACACCTGATACAGTGGCTGGTGCGTTTTGTGAGATGTAGCAAATATGTGTTGGTTTACATGGCATTAAAACTCCCGGAATGGCCTTAAGGAACTTTGCAATAGAATCCAGACTAAGGATGCTAGATAAGTATGCCTGGACAGAGTTGCCACATCTCATAAAACGTGCCAGCCGCTGTACCAGGCGCAAGTGCAGCCGACTGTACATTACTGATATAAGGATGTCGAGAAATCCTGTTGTATCACTAATCAATAAATTGTAGATTAAGGAAGGACATTGAAAGCATTAAAGTAACAATCAAGTTTTATTTTCACTTTTATTTGTACAAAAATACGACTGTGTTATAGAAAACTATCAAGTATATGTATATTCATTCTTAACATATGTATAGCTGTTTCGAAAAAACATTTACAATACATAGAACCAGAAACGCCGAGAACAAGACTTGGGCTGTATGGTGGGCGAGGCAGGGAGCCCCACAGGTGAGACCACCGGAGGGAAAAACACAATATCCTGTTGCAAATGAGTAATTCACCTCATTTACCTGCCAGGTGTCTCGGGAAGACACAAGTGAGATGAAATGGGAAAATTAACCAGACTTTCTGTTACTAATGAGCATTTTACCTCGGTGACCTGTTACATGCGTCACACACACACACGCGCGCGCAGACTCGCATGCACCGAGGAAAACAACACCTCATTGTAGGACAAAAATACAGTGTATCAACGTTAATGTCCTGGTAGTAAAGCTTAACTGTAGGTGCGTGAATTGTGAAACGTGACGTGTATAAATATTATGAGATGCAACAGCTTAAAAATCGTAAAGATCCTCAACACAAAATCTCCACAAGTGTGTATCAATAAAAAGGAAATGTATCAAGGAGAACGACAGCTGTCTTCCTGGTAGTGAGAAAGATGGAACACTGTGTCTCTGTGGTTGTCCTCGGGTAAGGTGAAACACAATTTCTGCCTTCCTTATCCTTGTGCAAAATGGTATGATGGTCTTGTTGTGTTTCTACCCTCAGGTAAATTGTAATGTCTCTTGTGCTTCTCTTATCTTGGGTAAACTGGAACAATCAGCCTGTATCTTTTACCTTTTAATAAGTTGGAAAGCATTTACAGGCTTCCGGACCTTGGTAAAAGACGATGTTGTGGCAGCCTCCGTAATATCTGGTAAGATGGAGTATATTTTTCGTCTTCCTAGCTATTCAAAATGGGGCTCTTACTCCTTGGGTATGATAGAGTATTATTGTTCTCTTTTACCTTTAAGTGGAAACCAACAATCGTCCTTTCCCTGTCCTAGTGTAAGGTCGGACATTGTAGCTTCTCATTGCCCTAAGTGTAAAATGAAACTCGCTGCCTCTCTGCCATTAAATATGGAACCTTAAGTAATTACTCTGCCCTTGGATAAGATAGAATAATGCAGTTTTCTTCCTGCTCTCAGTTAAGATGGAAAACTGTGTCTGACAAACTGGCCTACTGGGAGACCAGGAAGTTGGTGACCACAGCCTGTGAAGTTGAGTTCTGTCGCTCATGGCTCTTCCTTCCCACCTCTCCACACCCTACACCCACCTCTCCATCTACACTGACACAACCTCACACATCCGTAAATTTATCCGGAGTGAACTATTTCGTCAATTTTAATTGTTTAGATACTGAAGGGAATAAACTTTTATCTGAGTTTTATACTAAACAACTTCCCCCCAACTAAGAGAGAGAGAGAGAGAGAGGTCATAAACGAAGCTCCCGGTTGCCGACAAAAAGGTTTGGGAACACAAGGTTTACACCCAGTAAAGCTTCTGAACCCTAACCATCAGCTGTTTACGTCCTTCATGCCTCTCAGTGACGTCATCACTCAGGACAAAAATAAGATTTATTGCAAAAAACATTGACTTAGTATATTGTGAAGAGAATGAATCACAAAAAAAATACGTGTAACAGTAGATAAGACGAGAGTATTGTTGGTTGTTGGAGAATCGGGAAGTGGAGTTCGTGGGAGTTGTGTTATTGCAAAGTACCACCAGAATGGAGCCTCTCCCACCGACCTCCCCCGCGCGCCTTCACATGTTGTCGCTGTTGGGAAGAAAAAGTTTGGGTTAGGTTTATACTCTTGTGTATATGGAGGGGGTGGGTGGTTGAGGAGTGTTTACATGTAATAATTTTCTCTACAAACACACATACATACACATATACATACACACATACTACCGCCTGGGAAGATATTGGAAGCATAATGTGTTGTCTAATGGTAGACCCTGCTACCATATGGCATCACGAAAATTGTGACCAAGTCCCAGGTTGCTGATCTGACTTCTGCCTCATTTACACACAATTGCAGGGTCTCAATTGTTTCTCTTACTATTGACAACACAACATACATATATTGTTTCTCACTATTTCTTTATTTATTTTAGTTTTTCTTTATGGTTCTTTATTATTATTATTATTATTATTATTATTATTATTATTATTATTATTATTATTATTATCACATTTTCGCCCTCCTCCTCCCCAGGCCCCGATGTGGGTCAGTGATCTGTGCCCGGGTAGGCTAATCCCCGTAAAAAAAAATAAAATAAAAATAATTATATTTGGGTTAGTTGTGTGTGCGTAGTGGGGTGCATAAATCATTAAGTCTTTTAATAGTAAATATTGTAAAAGATAATACTGAGTCCTATAGTACTATGGTAAAGTGAATAAAAATCAGTCACGTCTTTTACATAACATAGGAAAACGTAACGATATCAGCTATAATGAATTGATACATGAGATAATTTTTCCTTGTTATTGGTATTTAAAATCTTGTTGCCATAAAGTTCATGTATGGCAACGTCATCCACTTCTTATGTTTGAGGATACTATAATGATATCGGAACATTTACAACTTGTAGGTCACCCAATTTAACCTAACTAAATTACTGTAACCTAACCTAACCTAATTTGATCTAAACTTTATTATTTTAACACAATCTAACTTACCTTAACCAACAAGTCGATTACATTTCTGATATCAAAACGTTAACCTGACTCACAGCACGTCACTCACAGCACGTCACTCACAACACGTCACTCACAACACTCACAGAACGTCCCTCACAGCACGTCACTCACAGCACGTCACTCACAGAACGTCACTCACAGAACGTCACTTACACCACCACCTCAATACCTTAGTCGTGATGTCCAGCAGCATTGTTCCGTGTGTTACTCCAGTAGCCTCATCCACGTGTTACTCCAGTAGCCTCATCCACGTGTTACTCCAGTAGCCTCATCCACGTGTTACTCCAGTAGCCTCACTCCACGTGTTACTCCGATAGTCTCACTACACGTGTTACTTCAGTTGCCTCGCTACACGTGTTACTCCAGTAGTCTCACTCCACGTGTTATTCCAGTAGTCTCACTCCACGTTTTACTCCAGTAGCCTCACTACACGTGTTACTCCAGTAGCCTCACTCCACGTGTGACTTAGGTAACCTTGTTCCACTTTAAACTCCCATAGCATGTCTTCCACTCCATCTGGTTTTCCGATGTCCATTTTAGTTCACTTTTCAGCTGCCACTCCATTTCCAATTTCAGCTTCATTCCTGCTCCATTTTCAATTAAATCATTCACTCCACCCCTACTCCAGCCCCCTCACCTCGCTCCACCTCTTGTCTGTGTACTGTGAAGGACGAGAGAGGAAAAGGAAATGTGATAAAATAATATATTTCATTTGATAAAGTATTCTATCTATAGTAAACAAATAATCTGTTGAACACTACAACTCACTAAACATTAGATAACACCGTTGAAGATAACACAAACTATTCTGAGATGGTGAGAGTGTAGTTACCATTGACATCAAAACGACCAACAACACTTCCCTCACTGACCATAACGACAGACACTCACCCTCCCTCAATGGGTCTAACACTCACCCTCCCTCAGTGGGTCTAACACTCACCCTCCCTCAGTGGGTCTAACACTCACCCTCCCTCAGTGGGTCTAACACTCACCCTCCCTCAGTGGGTCTAACACTCACCCTCCCTCAGTGGGTCTAACACTCACCCTCCCTCAGTGGGTCTAACACTCACCCTCCCTCAGTGGGTCTAACACTCACCTCCCTCCCTCAAATGGGTCTAACACTCACCCTCCCTCAGTGGGTCTAACACTCACCCTCCCTCAGTGGGTCTAACACTCACCCTCCCTCAGTGGGTCTAACACTCACCCTCCCTCAGTGGGTCTAACACTCACCCTCCCTCAGTGGGTCTAACACTCACCCTCCCTCAGTGGGTCTAACACTCACCCTCCCTCAGTGGGTCTAACACTCACCCTCCCTCAGTGGGTCTAACACTCACCCTCCCTCAGTGGGTCTAACACTCACCCTCCCTCAATGGGTCTAACACTCACCCTCCCTCAATGGGTCTAACACTCACCCTCCCTCAATGGGTCTAACACTCACCCTCCCTCAATGGGTCTAACACTCACCCTTCCTCAATGGGTCTAACACTCACCCTCCCTCAATGGGTCTAACACTCACCCTCCCTCAGTGGGTCTCAGGATTCATGATCAGGGAACTTGTGGTGAGGCAGACTAAAGGGGGGACGGAGGCGTTCCGAGTCCTCGCCGTAGTAGGCACTTTTGGAATACTGTCCTTGAAGGTTTTGGAGCTCCTTGAGTCCTTGTAGTCCCTGAAGCCCTTGAAGCCCTTGGAGACTTTGGAGACCTTTTAGGCCTTGGAGACTCTGCAGTCCTAGAAGACCTTGGAGGCCAGGCAGACCACGAGTGCCCTCCTCATATCGCTTCTTCAGGATAGATCTAAGAGGTTCTGTTGACTCGAGAGGTTCCTCCTGAGAGCCAGTACCCGTAGGATCAGTGGTGGTGGGAGTCTGGGTGTACGGAGAGGAGGTGGGAGCCTCAGGGCAAGGTGGAGGAACATTGTCGTCCTCAGCCTCACCGTTGCTCACATCATGAAGGCTGTCACTCCTGGGATAAGAAGCAGTGGCAATTAACTTATAAATCCTCTTATATACTTTACTCGCACTAATACAAACATAGTATGTGTCACCGTCGTCAAATATTACCTAATTTTCAAGCCAGCTTGTAAACGCAAATTAAACTAGAACAGACATTCATCAGACATATATTTCTACGAACATTAAGAGTGACTCACCCGTCAGGTCTGTGGCTGGCTTCATAAGACTCCTTCATGCGATAGAGCTGTTCTTGTAGACTGCGGTACTCCAGAAGGAATTTTTCCAACTGGGCCGCATGGTACTCCAAGTTGCAGGGATCCGCAGACTCCAAGTCACCTCCACCTACGGCCCCTGCGTCACCTCCTAACTCTCCTCTGTGTTTAGACGAGAGAAGAAAATGTAAACATACGCTACACAGACTATAAAACAGGTAGATTAAACATATATCACATACGATGAATGAGGTTAATAAAATAGCGCTTTGTTCTTCCACCTCACTGATTACTATTCGTATTTATCTGTAAATTCGAGGAAAAAAAACTATTCAGAAAAAAATTCTGACACGTGTACAATGACTAATTATTCGTTGATTGTTGTACAATAGAGAAAAATACCCTCATTAATGTCTTATTTTTTCTTGGTGAATAAAAAAATTAGACTCGGTATTGTATAAAATGAGAATAGATTTTGTTTTTTTTGCTTATTTTTGTAGTTATTATTATTATTATATATATATATATATATATATATATATATATATATATATATATATATATATATATATATATATATATATATATATATATATATATATATATATAAATATATATCGATTTTTATTGTATTTTCTTAGTTCCTCTTCAGGGTAATACGCCCTTATTATGTTAGTTCCTCATGAGGGTAATACTAATGTTTAGAGTATAATGAAACAAGGAACTCTGGGGGAATAATTTTATCTGTAAACGCTTCTTGGTCAATCTTATTCTACGACTACACACACACAGGCCAGATGCTACGTCGTAGTGCATCAATGGCAGTCGAAATTCTTATCACATGTTGGTTATTCTACAGAATTTTACTCGGTAATGAATGTATTCTCGTGCGTATATACAAATAAACTCGACATATACATTCTAAATAACTTATATAAATTTGGGTAGAATGCTTCAAAATATATTTCCCTCGGGTACGTTATAACCAAATGATAATATAACACAGGTCGTCTCAGGGGAAGTCAGAGTAATAATTTAATTTCATGTTTGTGGAAATTCATTACGTTTAATTTCCGTGATTGTTTAATTTGATTGAGAAAAATAGATTGTAGAGTTCCAGATCATATTTAACTTTTGACATAATACACTGTAAACCGCTGCTGACTTCTCCGTTCACTTCCCTCAGGTCGTGGTGTGCGTGTGCGCGCGCGTGCGTGTGCGTGCGCGTGCGTGTTAGTCGATTCTTTGTCATACTCGATGCCAAATGATAGCAAAGTAAGTAGTGTGTGTGTGTGTGTGGATACAGACTCATTAAACTTTGTTTGGAGCCTCACGTCACCTGTGTATACCTGTAAGCTCCAGGTAGCTCGGCAGGTGCTAGAGGGAGAGAGACTTTTCTTCACGAGAGATTTTATTTCCGTCGACAGGATCCCACCTAACACAATCACTTCAAACATCACAATCACTTAGAGCTACATACAATATAAGCAGTTAGCCCAAGCACTTCAAACAACACAAACATTTCACACAACAGTTATATCCCCGTCACTTAAAACAACACACAACACAAACACTTCACACAATACAAACACTTCAAACTACACAAGCACCTTACAACAAAACAACCACTTAACACAATACAATCACTCAGAACTACACACAACACAAGCACTAAACTCAACACTCATATTCCTGTCACTCAGAAAAATACTCAATACAAACACTCAGAACTACACAGATTACAAGCACTACACACAACACTCGCCAAACACCCATCACTCAGAGCAACACACACTACCCTAACAGTACAACTTACCGAAGGTTACGACGACAAACACTGCACAAAAAAGTTGCTCGCATGATCCCGCACCTTCAGGACGAGTCTAATTCGGGTAATTTAACAGTTTTGAGTTTTGAGAATAAATTTAGAGAGTTTGAATGTGCAGTGGACGGTCGCGAGGCATCCCATTACTTAAGATTTAGTGGACCATTTATTTATAAGAATGAAGAGGGAGAAAGAGAGATATGGGCAATTTAGAGCATTGTGAGTAAACTGCAGGTGTGGGCAATGTGGTGTTACTGTTGCCCAGGGCAATATTGTATTACTGCACGTGTGGGTAATGTTATGCTACTGCAGGTGTGGCCAATTTGGGGGTATGGCTACTGAGGACAATGTAAGTGTGAGCAGTGTGGGGGTACGGTTAACATGGGTGGGCAATGTACTTGTTAGTCTAGGAGTGGGTAATGTGGTCTTAGCTCACTCAAGGTATTTCTCTCATTTATTTAGAGAACCTCAAAAGCGGGGAGAAGTGGATGAAAGCAGCTATACACACACGCACACACACATGAACACACAGTCGACCCTGGACCTCTAAATTGAATTGAAACAAAATTGAAGGGGACCTCGCCTTATACACTGCAGAGGAGGAGGAAGCCACTAACTTATGAATGTGAGGAAGGGTCTTGTATGGCTTCCATCTGAAACGCTGCGGGTTATGTGTAATATGAAGGACACACGTTGGCAGGCAGTTCCTCTGTTGCGAAGTGTTAGAAATAAATGATGAGAAGGCCGAAGGTGTATGTACACAGTGCAACCTCTATTTAACGGACTATTTGGAGAGGAAAGTCCGGTATACCGAGGGTCCATTAGATGAGAAACCTCTATTGAACGGACTATTTGGAGAAGAGATTCCGTTATGCCTAGGGTCCATTAACTGAGATCTAGATGGTTATGATATCCTGAATTATGTTGGCAGAGTAGCGAGCAAAACCCCGTGGTTGTCCGCGTTAGTGTGTTGACAGTCTACACCCGCTATACCAAAGTCCAAGTCCCTTGCGGAGATAACAGAGTCGTATTCTCAAATAAAGCTTCCATTTACAACTGCTGGGTTTAAGTATGAAGGTGTTACTTCCTGTTGGGTTTGGGAGACTTTCTGCTATACCTCTCAGTGGGTGCAGCCATAACTAGACGGTGATGAAGAGGCGTTTGGTTATAATAACATCCTTACTTACCTGTGGACGGCCATAAGGTCGTTGAGGGTGTGGTGACGAAGGTTGAGGATGGGTGAAGTGTCTGGCAGAGAGAGCTGGTGACGGATGGGTGGGTGAGGGTAAGAGGTGGAGGACGCTTCACTCTCCGTCAGGTTCACCCAGCTCCCGCACCTGCAACACCAACGTTATCCTCAGACTGCATTGCTATTGGCCACATAGTTCTCCCTCTGTAATATCAATGTTTAATGAACCGCTCCGGGCACAGTGTTGTGTTTTCCTTTTACACTTGGGACCCGGTCTTCACTGCCCAGTTTCACTACACAAGCATCGTGTTTGTGAGGGTTGAGATGGTGTCTGCTGGCCACGAAAATAATACTTTCTTTTGACTCGTAACACAACTACTGTAATGCACTGAGCTTCACAGATATAAGAAAAACCTATAATAAAAGTATAATAAAATAAGTTAAAGGTTAATTCGTACTGAAATATAATAACTTGTTTATATTCTTGTCTTGCTTCTTGAATACTTTATATCTCTACGTTTTCCTCGCAAAGTTGACTTGTTTCTTTTGACTTAAAGACATGAATCGATCACCATCGCTTAACACGGATCAACCTATACCTCTAGTACTCCACCACCCCCCACCATTGCTCCAACTCCCCCCACTCCCCTCCCTCCCCTTCTAATGTCCCCCTAGCACCATTACTCCCAAGCCTCATTTCGTGCACCTGGAACCCACCTGTAGCGGCGGGAGAAGGAAGTCTCCTGGTAGGGGCCGTCCTCTCCCGTGGCTGAGGGTGGCTGCTTGGATCCTGACCCCTCACCAGCACCCACACTGCCAGAGCTGTGGGGAAGAAGTGGACGGAAAAGAGATGAGGGAAAGTGAAAAATAAAAACACCAGATTAACGTAGGATTGCAAGATAAGGAAAGAGGGTGGTAGAGACTGCGAGAGAAGGTCAAGGTGTAATTGTAAATGTGGAGATAAATAAGTTGGTGTTGGGTGAGGAGGGAGAAGGAACAAAAATAGTGATAATAAGGTGGAGAGGGAAACTCTTGTGTGACGGGACTCCCTCTTGTAATGATCGTTATACAAAACATGGTGTTGTCAGAATGGCTTTGTGTCATAACCAGTATTGTTGTTTAATTATAATGCTTTACAGTATCTAATTATTATTATACGGAGAGATGTATAACATAAGATTACTCCAACTGTTTCATAACTAATGTTGTTAAGCTGTTTCATAACTTATTCTTACAGTTACTGTTAAAAAGTTATCCTTTCCCCTGCACGTCGTGAGGGTGTTTACGTGTCGGCCACAATGGTTGGTTTGCTCCTGTTGAACCAGACACACTTCAATGATGTTTTCATTTAATTCACCGGACGCCCCAGGCTGGTAGTGATGCTTTGTTTAAACTTCGTTGAACCTATGCGGCCAAGTCGTTAATATTTGAACTTTTCGTTAATCCCATTTTGTAAAACCTAATCTCATAGATATAAAACTGTTTTGCTTCTTTACTTTCTTTCCAAAAATACAAAGTTTAGCCACAAAGTTAGTTTTAGTAAAACAATTTAAGAGCAATACTTGCCTGAAGGAACTAGACCATTTCTCACCTTCTTACGACAGACAATATTTTGTTATTATACACTAAATCACGGACAACTAATGGCGATTTATGAGTTTGGAAGAATATATGACATTCTTTTGAGAGAAGACAATAACACACACACACACAGTCAGTGTAACAGATGTGTTCACTGAGAGGTGTCAGTGGCTGGGTGCTGGAGAGACACTCGGTACAAACACCCAGTTTTGTCCGCTCGTTCTGTTTGTTTATCAGTGCGAGTGTTTGTGTACAGATGCGAGTGTTTGTTACTTTGATATACAAGCGCGTGTGTGTGTGTGCGGGTGTATATGTGTATGTGTGCGGGTGTATATATATGTGTGTGTGTGCGCGCGGGTGTAAATGTGTGCGTGTGTGCGCGGGTGACATACAGCCGCTCATGTAAGTGCACATTAGCTAATGCCTGTGGCCCACTAAGCCAAGGTAAGAGGAGGTGATGCTCCGCCGCCACTACCTCCGCCATTACCATCACTCACCTCCTGGGCATGGTGCAGTAAGCAGGGTTTAGTAGCTGTAGCGGCGGTCGAGGCTGCTGCTGTTGCTGGTGGTGAAGCTGCTGTGACTGCTGCTGCTGCTGTGTCTGTTGAGGGTAAGGCAAGTCTAGCAGGTCAGGGTAGTGTCTCCCGCTTCCCATGGACAGCTGAGAGCCCGCCTGACTACACGCCTGCCGCAGCAGATTATCTTTGCTGTCGTAGCTGTGATCTTTCCATCTCAATCTGTCCTCGATGGGCTGGTGAGGGGCGGCCGCCATCTCTGACTTGGGGATCTCTACGTAAGAGACGGTGCTCGGGGAACTCGTCTTGCCACTGCTGGCTTGTCCAGGCTTTGTCTGTCTTCTTTGTTCCTTCTCTGTGTAGACATTAGGCTTTTCTAATTCTTTGGTTGATGGGAAGTCATCAACGGAAGCGTCTCTCAGCATCCATGATTTGTCGGAGTGAGTTGGTAGTGGCGACGGTTCGTCCAGATCGTTTGTCGGCACAATATGATATTCTGCCAACTTGGGATGGGAGTCGCTGGAGGTGCTGCCACGCGCCTGCGATGATTGTGGCGTCTCGTTTTTGTGCTCGTTGTCCTGACCTCGCCGCCGCCGCATCCGCTGTCTTCTGCGGAATATAATGGCCGCAAATAGTAGTAAAACGACGCAGATAATGGCCACTGCACTTAGGAGTCCGCCAGTCACGAACACTCGGTCCATGGTCACCAGACGCACCTCGGCTATCTCGTTAGACACCTGGAGTGTGAGGTTGGTCTCTACCGTGCCAGCCTTGTTGTGAGCCACGCAGCGGTAAGTTCCCTGGTCCTGAGGGGCCGCCCCCCAGATGGTCAAGTTGGACAAGCGTGTCTCGTGGTTGGGAGCCACCAGTTCCAGTACTCGGTACCGCTGAGACTCACTCCCATTACGCAGGGGACGGTCGCCCACCAGCCAGGTGACGGCGGCGTCAACGTCAGTTTCGACTCGACAAGACAGGGACACGTTCTCGCCATGGGCCGCCAGAACTCTTGGGGCCACTGCCGTCACTTTAGGAACACACACGAATTCGTCAAGCATCAGTGTCTGCCAAGAGCGACTTTTAAGCCGTTCAGGAAACACACAGGTGGGCGGCTCCGAGAAGGCAACGTTGCGTTCCATCATCCATTGACGCAGAGGACGCAGTTGACAGTCACAGTGCCAGGGGTTACCGTCCAGGTGTAGCTCGTGGATAGCCACCAGGGGGATAACCATCTCTGCGTTTAATGTCTTAAGTTTATTAATCGACAATTTAAGCACTTCGAGGCGGGTCAGTCCTCGGAAAGCTCGCTTGTGAACCACTTCAATATCGTTATGAGAGAGGTCGAGACGCACCAGGTCTGGCGTGGGGGTGAAGGTTGCCTCGGCGAGGGAGTTAAGATTGTTGTAAGCGAGACAGAGCTCCCGTAAGCCAGGCACATCACTCAGCGCCTCTGAGGGCACCAGTCGCAGCAAGTTGTGGCTCAGATCCAACTCCACTAGGTTGGCGAGCATGTTAAAGGCGCCACCTTCCAAGTGTTTCAAGTTGCAGTGATTTAACCAGACTTTCTGCAAATTCACCAGACCTGTGTCGACAAAGGCGTCACGAGGTAGGATCTTTAGGTTGTTGTGCTTCAGGTCCAGCACTTGAGTGGAAGGATCAAGTCCTCGCGGGATGTCGATGAACTCAGAATCTGGACACGACACTGTCTCCTTGCCGTCACGCCACTTACACTCACACACCTTGGGACACGTGCCAGTTGCTCCACACACTACCCACGCCCACAAGAAGGCCCATACCCACGCCCATGAAATAGTAGTCCGTCGCAGCCTGGCTGATCTCTCCAGGCTGTGCTGAGACATCCAAGAGTTCATCTTAAGGCAACTGTGTATGTGTGTTAGTCACGACACACCACAACACCAGCTCAATGACTCGCCATCTCTGCCCCACTACACTACCTGTACCAAGTATCTTATAATAGGACTTGTCTCTGGACTCTTTAATGACGACATAATTTAGGTAACTTTATTCAAAATTATATATCTATATATAATAATCATCTATATATTTATGCGGTATACCTTATCAAATAATTATCAATGTGTTTTTAACGACAATAAAACTATCCTCCTTTGTTTACCAATCGTCATCTGTGATCATTAAATAAACAAACAATTTCATATTACGAACATAACTGACGGGGATTCTGAACAACTTTGTTTTATTTTGTTTGGCGTTTCCTAAGAATATCTGAGCTGTTAGTTGCGTCACTCATAAACTTCAGGCCTATTAGATGCGTCACTCATAAACTTCAGGCCTATTAGATGCGTCACTCATAAACTTCAGGCCTATTAGATGCGTCACTCATAAACTTCAGGGTTGTTAGATGCGTCATTCATAAACTTCATAGCTGTTAGATGCGTCACCCATAAACTTCAGGGATATTTGATGCAGTACTTACACTCTTGAGCAGAAATGTTAGATAAGATCTTCCTTCTGATAATGCCTCACAAATTTCACCTTTAAGCGCGTTGCAGAATGTCTTAACACCTTCTGCTTGCCATGGCAGGTTGGAGCAGTGTGAGGACTTCCATTAATTGTCTCCATACTTCCTGAAAATAGAAGGAGAGAGAGTATATTAGATATTATGATATTAAGTGAGTGTACTCAGACACAGATCTCATTCTACATCTTAGTCTGTCATTTCTGTCTATCCTATACAGATACACATTCACACCTCTCTCTCTCTCTTTCTCTCTCTCACCTCGCCTCAGGAATATCATGCACTCTACACAATTGCACATATAAAGCTGTAACACAGATGACAGTAAATTCGGCGTCCCTCAGGGCAGCATTAACAATACCTCGTGGTAGAGCGTAAATAAAACCAACGCTCTATTGATGAGTTTTACGCCGAGGTTTGAGAGAGTGTGAGTGAGAGAGAGACAGACGCACAGAAAGTGAGAGAGACTGACAGAAGAGAGAGAAAGAGATGCAGGAACTGAGTGGGAGACAGAGTGAGAAAGAGACAATCAGAAATAAGAGAGAGAGATAAACTAAGTGAGATACAGAGTGAGAGACAGTGAGAGAGTGAGTCCGAATACAGAGAAAGCGAGGGAGTTGAAGTACTGGATGAAACACAGGGACTCTGGTTCACAAGTTGATGAATCTGCAGGAGTTAAGACTGAAGTATTGTACAGGATACACTATGGTATTATGCTCAGTTGGGAACGAGAAGTTTATCAGAGAGAGAGAGAATAAATGAATGAATGAATGAATGAATAAATGAGACAGAAAGAGAGTGTGTAAGAGAGAGAACAAAAAATCAAGTTCACGTGAAAATTCTCAATAAAATTTTCGAGCGGTTTACTCGTTGAGATTAATATTGTAGCCAGAACACCTGGACCCACCTTGTCCAACACCTCCAGTTATCTGCCTTTAATAGACTACATCCACCCCTCTGTCGGGTTCACCTACTTAGCCAATGCTTCCTTCATTATGGTAATGTTTCAGCTGTGATTCGGTTAGGTTAGGTTAGTCTAGGTTAGGTTAGGTTAGGTTAGGTTAGGTTAGGCTAGGTTAGGTTAGGTTAGGTTTGTCTAGGTTGGGTTAGTGGACGAATAAGTTAATTTAAGGCAGTGTCCAGAGATTAATGACTCCCGGCTGTACACACAGATTAATATATATATAATTTATGAAAAGACTTGACGACGAAGCGGCTCAGTAAATAGCGAAGATGCTCCTATAATTCATTGGTAATATTGTAATCCAGATAAGTTATGAGAAAACTGCCACTTTAAGCTTTCAAGGAAGTTATTGGCAATCGTGGAAGATATTGTCCAATACACTGCTCTCTCTCTCTCTCTCTCTCTCTCTCTCTCTCTCTCTCTAGCAAAAAAAAAACAACAACACTGTCAGCAAACAACAACAACACTGTCAACAACACCAACACCTGTCAACAACACCAACAACAACACCTTCAATAAACAACACTGACAGGTGAAAAATATGCACTAGATACTGGAGTAAGGGAGAGAGGTAGCGAACACAAGGGTGGGGAGTAAGGACGTACACAAGGGTGGGGAGTAAGGACGTACACAAGGGTTGGAGAGTAAGGACGTACACAAGGGTTGGAGAGTAAGGACGTACACAAGGGTTGGAGAGTAAGGACGTACACAAGGGTGGGGAGTAAGGACGTACACAAGGGTGAGGAGAACAATAAAACAGGGGAGAGAGGAAGTCATGATAAGAGAGTACATATCCCTGTGACATCATAACCTATGGAAGGAGATACGTGTAAAATATTTATTAGGCTAGACTCGTATGACGTCACACAACCGTCAAAGATTTATCAAATATTTGGCTGGTGAGCAGAATGGTATTGTCCTCCACTATCACGCTATCGTTACATATAAAATAACTTTAGAAATTATTTAATATAGCTACTCTTTTTAAAACTGAATATTTAGGATAAATTGTACTTACAGTATCACATTCCTGCAACGTCTATATTTTTATATACTGTATATCTCTCTTCCTATATTTCTCATTTATATCGCTGGTATCGGCAGACAGCACACGTTCACTATTTTACGGAGAAATTCTCGGATATCCTGTGACTGATGTGTTATATTGTGCATGGTGGCGGCAGCTGTGTTGACCAGCTCCCTTCAGACACACTTGACTTTTTCTGACATTATGACGCGGCAATATTACCTGCCTCTACCTGTTCATTATGTATATTATAAATAGATAAGAGAGACAGAGAGAGAGGGGGATTAGGCTAGGCAACAGGGCAAGAATGTGAGTAATGTGATGATAGGAGGAGACGTGGAAAGTGTAGGGAGGGGAAGGAAGAGAGAGCTTCTAAGAGTTAGGAATGAAGATGTTTTTATACAGATGCATTTTAAGATGTGATTTTAGAACGTATATTTTGTTATCTTTATTCCCTGCGAGGTCTACGGGTGTTATCTTGCCACAGTGTGTTATCTTACCACAGCAAAACAATGTTACCCCCCCACAGCAAAACAGTTTTACTCTCCCACAGCAAAACAGTTTTACTCTCCCACAGCAAAACAGTTTTACTCTCCCACAGCAAAACAGTTTTACTCTCCCACAGCAAAACAGTATTGTGCAGTGCCGATCGTACAAATGGCTGCAGTTGTCAGGCAGAAAAACAAAGGTGAATTCATCAGACATTTCCGATAGAGAGAACTCGACAATAAGAGATGAAAGTACGGCCTTTAGTCTCAACCAAGCCGGCTACTAATGCCTGGTGTGTGTGTGTGTGTGTGTGTGTGTGTGTGTGTGTGTGTGTGTGTGTGTGTTGAGACAAGTGATTAAGTGGGCTTGGTCGGATCCTGGAGATTTCTACACCCATCACTGCTATCGTCACTATAACGCCAATACCATCACTATCATCATCATCACCAACAACTTTACTGTCACTGTACCTAACGCCGGCACCATCACTATCACCAACGATCAGATCACGCAGACTCCTACACTACAGCTATCATCACCATCACCACTATCACAACACCATCGTTACTTCCATCAGTACCACCATTCCCACCATTACCACTACAACCACCACCACTACCATCACCACCACTACCATCACCACCACTACCATCACTTACACCACCACTACCATCACTTACACCACCACTACCATCACTTACACCACCACTACCATCACTTACACCACCACCACCATCGTCACCACCACACTACTACCACCACCACTACCACCACCACTACCATCACCACTACCACCCTTCTCTATCACCATCATTTACCAATTTCACGTGTCCTATGTAAACATGTGAGCTTCATAAACTACAACAGGAAAAGTAAGTCAGGTTTTGGTGGCCGAGTGTTGAGAGAATGTTGTTGTTTTGGGAGACCAGATATGCAGTAAGTATGACCGAGCCAATACAGGAATACGAGACCATGATGAGAAACTGTTTGTGGGAAGGAAAAAACACAAGTTGCATAAACTATGATTGGTAAAAAAAAAAAATAGAATCAAGGTCCATATTCTGTTTTTGTTGTTTTTGTAGGTTAGGTTAGGTTACGTCAGGTCAACAGTTTCTTTTATTTTTTCACCAACAGGAAAGAAAATGTTTGAGTGGATAAATGAAAAAAAATATTTATTTTCCTTCGATGGAACACTAACACCATTGCAGTGTTATTGGAAAAAAAATTTGAAGTTTCCTTTACCAAATCTAGATAGATATTTTGTGTTGTTTGTTTGGAGGTTGACCACAGCCTTCATAAAGTACAGCTAGAAAAAGAATTACCCAGGTACAGTGAGACCTCTATCTAACGGACTATATAGCCGAATGCAGTCCTTTATATCGAAGTCCAAATATGCGAAACCTCCATATAACGGACTATACCCGTTAGATTCATATCCGTTAAATAGTGGTTTTCACTGTATTTGTGGTTCTGTCGAGGCTGTCGTGGTATAGCGGCAACAACACTCATAATAAACCAAGGCAGGAAAAACATGAGCGGTTGTGGACACATAAAGAGAAAGTGGAGGAAGAAAAAATACCAATAGTTCGAGGATGACTTTTTATCATTGTAGTTAATAGCCAAGACAGAAATGAATCCTTTATACAACCATTGATAACAGACGAAAGAGATGGCGCTGCCGTCTGAATGTTAGTAAAGTTTTCCTTATCAGACACAAAACTTCCGTGAATAGTGATATTACTCCAAATTTTGACATAATTATATACCATAAATAAACACAGTGTATATCATGCCATTCAAGTATCTATATAAGGTCAAGGTAACGAGAAGGCAAAACAAAAACCTCCTGTACAGCGCAACACTTCAATGGATCTACAACTTTTTTGTATAAAACTCGACGAGAATGTAACAAGAGAGGGAAAAGTTCATATAGATTCAAGTGTTTGTATCAGACGTCAAGGTCAGATCTCTAAGTCAGAAGTTAACTATGGCAACACGTGGTAGTTATATTTTTTAACAGAGAAAGGTCAGGTGTGCTTAGAGTTTAAATGAGAGAAGTGCCCCTCCCCCCAAAAAAATAATGCTTTAATATAGGATTTCCTAGAGTGTAAAACATAGGCGTGGATGACTGTTGGGTAGCGAGTGTAGGAGCGGCTTTTGTGTGTACCAGGATGTGGAGGGGAAGAATGAAAGGAAAACGATACGAAATGAAGAAAGATAAGGAGACGAGGAAGGAAGAAGTTAAGACGATTGAAAAGTATCAGAGGAAAGAGAACACCAATTGGGCTGGCAAGTGATATAATACTCGTGTTGGTGACTAAAATCAAACTTTCTAAAAATCCAAAACGAAATAGGTAAATCTATCGCCCCCTCTAAGAAAACTTTGACACATCAGTACTAGAAACTAAAAAAATTCAAAATTACACAAAAGAGTACATAGATGTAACATAAAATGGCTGCAGAAAACGGTATGGCATTCTCTTGCCTGGTAATGTCGCTGTAGTCCCAAGCAACATAAGTTTTGTCCCATAGTACTAATATTATAAAGACTTCTGTGGAATGTGTAAATACCGCATTTATATATTTACTCGAAATTAAATATTCAGCGTTGGCTTTTACACAGCAACTA